GCTTTCGGGACTGTCTTGGGAGACCGGTTGTGGCATGAAGACTCCTGGAACCTGGGCTCTACCGCTCACACAACTAGCACAGACTCCGGTTTCAGGAACATGATGACTCTCCCCACATGTACATGTTTCTCCTCGACCAAAGGAGTCGGGAAGACTCGTCCTGCCCGCGCACTCCAGATGCACGGCTTGGAAGCTGAGTTCCTGAAGCAAGGCTTGAGCTACTCGGTTGGCGTATTCCTTGGTGAACGGCTCCGGCCGTTTCGCGCCCTCAGTTTGCAACTGTGCGTGGGAGGTTCCCTGGGGGCATCTACAAGGTTTCTGGAGGGCTTCGGCTAAGTTCTGGTGAGTAGTTATGACCTTGAATCCCTGTTTCACCAACTTACCAGACGACACACGCAGATTCACATTGCATCCCTTGGTGACTGAGACATACAGCTCATGCCGCTTCTGGAATTGTTGGATTTCGGGGAGTCTCCAGGCTTGTGAGCTTTCGCTCCAAAACCACGTTACATGTATGCCATGTTGAATACAATGTTCCGCAACACACATGGCTCCAATGATCAGCTTGCGTGCTTCACGCTTCTTTTCTTGCAACAGGCTTTCCTGATCATCAGTCCGTGTGTGCATTCTTTGGAGAGGCGAGAAGGCACCACTGGGAGGACTCAACCAAACATTCTGAGGCCGTTCCACTTGGATTCTCTGCAGAACATGTTTCACCCCCGCTCCAGTGGACAAATCCCCACCGTTCCAAGGGCCACATTGGCTTGCAGCCTGCTCGCTATCAGCAGCTCTACGTACCGCTTCAACGAGTGAACTGCTGGGCTCATGTGCAATCTCCATCAAAACGGGCCTCTGGTGACCAGCTAAGGACTGAAACACTTGGGGAACTAAGGTCCAGGCCTTGTGCTCTAAGTGTCGAGCCGAGTGGGCATTAAGCTGTCGACTAGATGATGTAGATTGCGGGGACCCCATAGGAGATTGCCATGGCCTCATTGGAGAATCTGTGCCACTCAGTCGCGCTCCTTCTTCCGGGGGCGCTCCTCGGTCTGTCCACTCTTCAGCTGGGCCACTTCCTCCTTGAGGTCGTGCAGCGTCGTCACCAAGTCGCGGAGGACCGACTCGCTCACCGAAGACGTTGCCGAGCTCGCACTGCTCCGGCCGTGGTAGCCCGATTGACTCTTGGCCTTGGCCTGAGGTTTCTCCTCGGGCGGCTCCACCAGCGTCCACTTGGTAGACTTCTCCTCGATCGGCTGTGCCGCTTCTTGCTCCAGCCACATGGCCAGGCGTCGTAGCTGCACACACGTCTCCTTCTCCTCTTTGGCCGTTGCACGGACCCACGCCACATACTGAGGGTACTCCTCCTTGATTGTCCGGTAGGTCATGGACGCATGGCGGCCGAAACCGACATAGTCTCCGCCGGACACGGCCGTGTGCTCGTAGGCAAACTGCACCGCCTTCACCTTCATCTGCTCGATCGTCATATTCGGCGTGATCTCCTGCATCATCTCCTCCTGAAGAAGCTGCGTGAGCTTGCTCTTCAAGCGGCTCGCGGCATTGATCTGGGCAATCTTGTTCTGCAAGGCCGTCTTGCCCTTTCCGGGGTTCGCTGGTACCAAGCCGTGCTCGCGCTGTAGTTCCTGAAGTCGATGTTGTAACTCCACTTTGGTCCAGCGACTCGGAGGTTGCTCGCCGAAGTCCTCCAGCTGAGCACGTAGAGACGCCACCGTGACCTTGGCCATGATGGCGGGGAAGAGGAGGGCCGCGAGAGAGAGGCTCGTGATCGTCTGAGTTGCGTGGGCTGCTGTTGTGAATATTCGCAAGGGAAGGCTCCGATGACTCATGCTCAGGAAGTACAAATCTAACTCTCTCATTACTACTCAACTGGTCATGAAAATTGCTCCGTCTCTGCTCTTGAAACACTGAATTGCCTGCTTGATGATCACCCTTCCAACTCCTTTCAGGCTGAGGAATCGGAAGGAGTTGTCCCTAGCCCGTCTTAGGCAAAAACTCAAGCAAGCTCGGCACTTCGGACGTGGTGTCCACAGCACCCTCGTACAAATCATCCGCTAAAGACAGAAGCTGATGGCCGGTGGCCGAACGGCCTGCCTTGATGAGCTTGCGTGTACTCAGCTTCCTGAAGGCTATCAGATCATGCTGAAAATCAATGATTGCTCCTAAGCTACGCAAGGTTGAAATGGAGAGGAGGATGGGAGCTTCTCCTTTCTGTAAAGCATGGATAGCGAGGTTCCCTCGCTTTCCCTCGGCCGTCAAAGACATCCCCACTGTGGAAACGCAAGTGTCCGTACTCGAGTTCCCAAAACCAAACGTAGGTTTGTTGCTCACATCCACTTCTTGAAGTCGATGACTGCCGTGCTTGCGCCGGTTGGCCTCCATCAATCTCTCTATCGCATAGACACTAGCCAGAGTCTTAGTAGCTCCTCCGTCGATGATGGCCTGACCTTGGGCCACGGCCTCTGCCGTGGTCGGGCTGCCCAGAAAGGCCTGGGAGAGATGGCTTGTGTCCAGAGTGGCTCCCACGAACTCCGAGGCGTCCTGCTCGGCGTCCTGGTTCTCTGCAAGGCATACGAAGGGGGCCTCCTCGTTGGTGGAGGCGGCTGCCATGTGAGCTGTGGCCTTAGACTCCGTGCAGTTGGCTGCTCGATGTCCCACCTTGCCACAGCTGAGGCAGACCATGTTGGCATCCCGGTTGGAGGATCCTGCCGCACTGCCTTTCCCACCACTCGATTGGCCTCGAGGGCCACTGCGAAAGTACTGTCTATTCATGCGGATCTGGTGCTGCTTCTGTCGGGCCTCACGCAAAGTGCGTTTGGCCCCATTGATCGCCACCAGGGCATCCTGCGCCGTGGTCTCGGCGTTGGCCAGCAAAGCCAGCCCCTCATCACTTATGTCCTCCTTGGCCATGAGGGCGTCTTCATCGAACTGCGGCTCGGGGTCCTCGTTGTCGCTCAACGTCTCACCCCAAAACCCTGCGTGGCGTGAGGGATCTCGATGACGTAGGTCCGCATCGCTCCACTGGTTGCGCAACTCTTCCGCCACCCGATCCACCTCATAGTTCCCTCCTAGGGCTGTCTGCACCATGTTGCGCTCTGTCTGGTTGAGACCTGCGTCTTGTAGCAAGTACCATCCCTGGATAAAGGAGGGAAGAAGCTCTTCCATGCGAGGGGCCTCCCTGGTCGAGGTAGACCAGGTGCCATTGCCGGAGGAAGGATTCCACCCCCAGTTCCAGTTGTAGTTGCCATACCACTCTGGTCTCTGACTCCAGGTGGAGTCACTCCAGGTCCAACTTGCTCTGGTGCTGGCCTGCCAAGGATGAGACTCGGCATTGGTATCCGTGTCAGCTGGACGGTCGTCGGAGTCGTCGTTGTCATTGGTATTGGGCTCATGGTCGTCGTGCTCCGAGTAGTAGTCCCAGCTGCTTCGGCGGCTGGAGTAACCGCTCCACATGTTGTAGTTGGAACTCCCGGCCCCTTGGCCGAATCTCCCGGATGAAGCTGAAGGCTCCTTCTTCTTGGACTTCAGAACTCGGCCCAGGGCCTGAGTCGCCCTCAGGTATGACTCGGCCTTCCGTGTGATGTAGTCATTCATACTCTCCTGGGCTCGTCTCTTGCAGCTCTTGAAGTATCGAGAAAGGTGCTCGGTCAGCTCCGGGATCTGAGGACGTCCTAGTTGGCCACGTAGGTGTTCCATCAACACATGGACTCCATTGTAATGGGCCACCCATCCTGGGTGGCGGCCTGCCACCATTCGTTTGGCCGCTCCGGTCAACTCTGCGACCAAGCGAGGGCCACACAGCTCACGCTTATGTTGTGCCGTGCTGGCCTCGTACAGATAGCAGGCCTCCTCGTAGGCAGAGAACAAGTTCTGTTCGCCGCCCCATCTGGGCACTCCATCCCGAGTGCGCTCCACGTCGCCGGTTCCACCGCTCATCGCTTCTCTGATGGCCCCGCGATCAGAGACGTCTGGGTCGCCTGGATCACCAAGCTAGAGCCGGCCTGTCTGGCCTGGCTCCGCTACCATGAAAGCGGTAGCAACTGTCGGAT